GGGCCACTGATGTCTCTGATGGAGCTGAGGATCTGAGCAGGCGGATGGGGATGCCCCTGGAGTCAGCCCCTCTGGTCCCAGAGCAAAGAGCTGAGTTTTCTTCTCCTCATCTCAGCCCTCAGGGTTGGGTCCCCGCCGCTCTCAGCAGAACCAGAGGAAGGAACCTCGCAAAATCATTGCCACTGTGACCCTCAATGAGGATGTCAAGCTGAACAAGGCTGAGAAGGCCTGGAAACCCAGCAGCAAGCGTGCCTCTGAGGAGGAGGATCCGGAGAACATCAAGACACAGGTGGGAGCTGGGGCGGGCGGTGGGAGGGCAGACGGGGATGTACCTGGCTCTTGCTGACCCTGCTGTCTTCGTAGGAACTGCTCCGCCGTGTCCGCAGCATCCTCAACAAGCTGACACCCCAGATGTTCCAGCAGCTGATGAAGCAGGTGATGGAGTTGTCCATCGACACGGAGGAGCGGCTCAAGGGTGTCATTGACCTCGTCTTCGAGAAGGCCATCTCGGAGCCAAACTTCTCTGTTGCCTATGCTAACATGTGCCGTTGCCTTATGGGGGTAAGCAGGAGCTGGGGATCTCCCACCGAGCTACAGGGGTTTGGGGGCCTTAGCCGAGCTACTCTAAGAGGAGTGGGGAAATGGGTGTATGGACAGAGGACCAAGTCCAGAGCCCTTAACAGGGCATCACAAGTGCCCATCATAGGGTGACTTTTCCCTGGTTTGAGCCCGCGCCTTAGCTGGCCAGCTTTTGGAGGAGACGTGACTCATGCTCCTTGCCTGGGTTGTACCTTTCCCTGCAGCTCAAAGTGCCCACGACAGACAAGCCCACGGTGACTGTGAACTTCCGCAAGCTGCTGCTCAACCGCTGCCAGAAGGAGTTTGAGAAGGATAAGGATGACGATGAGATCTTCGAGAAGCGGCAGAAGGAGATGGACGATGCCAGTGCTGTGAGTTGGGGTGGGAGGCTGTGGCTGAGGGCTGGTGTGGGCATCCTGGGGGGGACTCTGGTCTCTGAGCTGCCGTGCTCTGCCCTCCCTGCAGCCTGAGGAAAAGGCACGCATGAAGGATGAGCTGGAGGAGGCACGGGACAAGGCCCGACGACGGTCCCTGGGAAACATCAAGTTCATCGGAGAGCTCTTCAAACTGAAGATGTTGACAGAGGCCATCATGCATGACTGTGTGGTGAAGCTGCTCAAAAACCACGATGAGGAGTCTCTTGAGTGCCTTTGCCGCCTGCTTACCACCATTGGCAAGGACTTGGACTTTGAGAAGGCCAAGGTACCCCTTGCACTGCCCTGCCCTGCCTTGCCCTGCCCTGCCATTGCCTTTGGAAGGGATGTGACCATGACTGTGTCTCTCTATAGCCCAGGATGGACCAGTACTTCAATCAAATGGAGAAGATCATCAAAGAGAAGAAGACATCATCCCGAATCCGATTCATGCTGCAGGATGTGATTGACCTCAGACGGGTAAGGCATGTGGCCTGGGGACTGTCCTCTGTCTGTGCTTGGTCCTGTGGAGCTGCTGACCTGCCTGAGTGCCCGCAGGCCACGCATCCCTGGAAGGGGAGGGAGAGGTGGGTATGTGAGCTGTGACCAGCCCCAGAGACGCCATGCTAGCCCCCAGCCCTTGGGTAGCATGGTAGTGGTAGTGGGCACACAGTAACTGGCGGCTGTTTAATGCAGGGGGGCTCATGATACTGAGCCCTTCTGTGCCAAAAGCTGCCACAGCATGCAGGGAGTTGCACTGACTGAGGTGGAAGAGTGGCCTGAGGCTTTGAGGGTGGGATGGCTGGGAAGGGGGAAAGTTTCTGCCTCCATTCTCCAGCCAGCTCAGCGTCCCCATACCTGCTCTCTTGCCCTATGCAGAATAGCTGGGTGCCGCGGCGAGGAGACCAGGGCCCCAAAACCATCGACCAGATCCACAAGGAAGCAGAGATGGAGGAGCATCGGGAACACATCAAAGTGCAGCAGCTCATGTCCAAGGACAAGAGGAGAGGACCCCCAGGGCCATCTGCCAGCAGTGAGTGCCCGGGCTTGGGGACACTGAGGATGCCGGTGCTGTGTTGTTCCTGCTGGGCACTGCTCGAGGCTGGGCTCTGCCTTACATCTGTCTCCCTTGTGCCCAGGTGGCCGTGGGAGCCTGGTCGCAGATGACGGCTGGAACACGGTCCCCATCAGCAAGGGCAATCGGCCCATCGACACCAGCCGGCTAACAAAGATCACCAAAGTGAGCCTGGGGGTGCAGGGTGGGCAGCTGAGCCAGCTGGCCCAAATCCTACCTCAGTGTGAGGCTCAGAGCTGACTCTGTCTCTCTGCCCGCAGCCTGGATCCATCGACACCAACAACCAACTCTTTGCGCCGGGCGGGCGGCTGAGCTGGGGCAAAGGCAGCAGCGGAGGCTCTGGCGCGAAGCCTGCAGATCCGGGTAGGCAGTGTGGGGCTGATGAGGTGGGTGGGGGGGGATCCTTCCCCTGGTCATTCTTGCACTGGGGAGGTGCCGAACTCTGAGACTCCCCTCTTTTCACGCCCAGCATCTGATTCAGGGCGACCAGCCACAAGCACCTTGAACCGCTTCTCAGCGCTCCAGCAGTCAACCCCTGCCGAGAGCCCCGAGTCTCGCCGTGTGGTGCAGAGGTGAGGGGCTGCTGTGGTGTGCAGGGGGGTTGGTCTGCGCTCCAGGGAGGATATGCACATGCACATCCCCCTCCCCCCCCACCTCCCCAGTCTGGTGATGGTTGGCAAATACAGAGCCTGGTGTCTGGGCTCCATCTCTGTGGCCAGATGGGGCCTTGGTGGGGCTCAGAGTCCTTGTGGCAAAGAAGGCTGACCCCATCCTGGGCTGTTTGTCACCTGGGACGCCACTCCTGGGTGCTAGGTCCAATCTGCAGGCCTCAGGACACATTGATGGGCTGTAGTGAGCCCCGTGGAGCTGGAGTGTAGGGTCCTCAAGGAGAATGGGAATTAGGTTTATTTGGGAGTAGAGGAAAACCAAGAGGGATCTCACCACAGGCTGTAGCAGGGGGAATATGTGCATGGGATGGGTCAGGCTCTGCTCAGCCATGCCAAGGGACACAGCGAAAGGCCAAGGGCTTGAGTTGGAGCAAGGGAGAAACAGGGAAAAGCATCTTCCCCTCAGAGTGGTCAAGTGCTAGAAGAGGCCCTGGAAAAGGCTGGGATAGGAGCGGGACAGTGTTGCCTTGCAGAGCCCTACGTTTTGAGGTCAGGGAGCATGGTGACGGGCTCTTCACACCATGTCTGTTGTCCTCCCACCCAGGAGCAGCTCCAGCCGCGACAGGTCGGAGAAGGCTGGGGACAAAGGGGACCGGGAGTCGCGTTCGGAGAAGGGCAGCGACCGCCTGGAGCGTCCTGACCGGGGGGAGCGGGCAGACAGGAACAGGTCTGCCCTCACCAAGAGGAGCTTCAGCAAAGAGACAGAGGACAGGAGCCGAGAACGGGAAAAGCAGGGTGGCCCCGAGGCCGTACGCAAGGCTGCTAGCCTGACGGAGGAACGGGACCGGAGCCGAGAGACCCGTGAGCTTGGGGGGTGGTGTCCTGGGGGCTGGCTGCGGGCTGGGGCCCTGCCTGTCCCAGGTGGTGTCTGATCCTCCCTCTCTTCCTCGCAGTTAAGCAAGAGCCAGCACCTCCTGCAGCATCTGCCAAGCCTGTGCTGTCGGAAGAGGAGCTGGAGAAGAAATCCAAGGCGATCATAGAGGAATACCTGCACATCAATGACATGAAGGTGAGAGGAGGGAGTGGCCAGGCACAGCACCGTATGGCCCCCGTAGCACACATCGCCTTCCCCTGGTGGTAGTGCTGTTAGGCAGAGCACCAGCAGTGTCTGGATGAGGAAGGGGGAAGCCATGGCTGGCTGTGGGGCAGTACTGACCCCCATTTTTCCCTGCAGGAGGCCCTGCAGTGTGTGCAGGAGCTGGGCAGCCCCTCCTCGCTCTACATCTTCGTGCAGAACGGCATTGAGTCCACGCTGGAGAGGAGCACCATCTCCCGGGAGCACATGGGTGTCCTGCTGTGTCAGCTGGTGAAAGCAGGCACGCTCTCCAAGGAGCAGTACTACAAAGGGTGAGGGACTGGGGCAGCCTGACCTCAGCTGGCATTTGTTTGGCTTTGAATTCGGCCCTGCCTTGAGCAGGGCTCATCACTGAGACCTCCTGAGGTCCCTCCTGGCTGAGGGCGTGGGGGCTGCTGATCCCAATGGTTCTGTTCTGCCCCACAGGCTGCAGGTGATCCTGGAGATTGCGGAGGACATGGAGATTGACATCCCTCACATCTGGCTGTACCTGGCCGAGCTCATCACTCCCATCCTGCAAGAGGAAGGCATCCCCATGGAGGAGCTATTCAGGTGAGGGCCATCCACCTTTATGGGGATGCCGTGGGGTCCTGGGAGGCTCCTGGGGACACGTACCTCAACCGAGTCCCCTTGTGTCCTGCAGGGAGATAACAAAGCCCCTGGTGCCCATTGGGAAGGCCCCCACGCTGCTGGTTGAGGTGCTGGGCTTGTTGTGCAAGGGCATGGTAAGTGCACGGAGCTCACATAGATGCTGGCCACTGCCTCTGGGAATAGCAGCGTGTTTGTGGAGGCAGGTTGGCATTTGGGGATTGAACCACTGTGCCACCAGAGGGGATGGCAGAGGGCATCTCTTGGCATGTCTGGGTCATGGGAATGGCATGGCCAAGCCACAGTGTCCACCATGGGCTGCTGAGTGCTGTCTGTCTGTCCTGCAGAGCCAGAAGACTGCAGGCAAGCTGTGGCGGGACGGGGGCCTGAGCTGGAAGGAATTCCTGCCCGAAGACCAAGATGTCAACAAATTTGTCACGGAGCAGGTGGGAACTTGTCCACGGTGTGGGGCAGAGATGGGCCATAGGACATCCCTTGGGGGAGTCTTGCTGGGAGCATGGGGTTCCTTTGTGCTGCTTTTAACAGCTCCGTCTCTTCCTGCTCCCCCAGAAATTGGAGTATACGATGGGAGACAGCTCGGACACACCAAGCCGCAAGGAGCTGACCTCAGAGGAGCTGTGCAAGCAAATGGACAAACTGCTGAAGGAGAACCCAAACAACCAAAGAATATACGACTGGATCGAGGTGAGGGTGTGGGTGCAGCACCCACAGGTCTGGGGGCTCCTTCCCTGCTCCCCCTCCCCCTCACAGCCCCCCTCTTCTCCAGGCCAACTTGAGTGAGCAGCAGGTCTCGTCCAACACATTTATCAGGACCCTGATGACATCCGTGTGCCACTCGGCCATCGTCTGTGAGTACCACAGTGAGATGGGGGTGTCCCCTTGCCCACACTACCTCCTTTCTCACACCCCATCTCCCAACAGTCGAGAACCCCTACCGTGTGGACGCTCTGGTGATCCGCAACCAAGCCAAGCTGCTGCAGAAGTACCTGCAGGACGAACAGAAGGAGCTCCAGGCCCTCTACGCCCTGCAGGCCTTGGTGGTGAAGTTGGACCAGCCTCCCAGTGAGTCTTGGGGACGGGTGGGCTGTGGAGGGTGGGTGGCAGACGTGTCCCCACCCCAGCAGGGTTGCTGGTGGCTGGGGAATGGCAGGAGCCCCCTTTGTCCCCTCTCCAGACCTGCTCCGGATGTTCTTTGACGCCCTGTACGATGAGGATGTCATCAAGGAGGAGGCTTTCTACAAGTGGGAGTCCAGCAAGGACCCGGCCGAGCAGCAGGGCAAAGGGGTGGCTCTCAAATCGGTGACGGCCTTTTTCACCTGGCTCCGGGAAGCTGAGGATGAGTCGGACAACAACTGAGCATCTGTGAGGAGGAGGAAGAGGAGGAGGAAGGAGGGAGAGAGAGAACAGGGCCCCCTGAGGAGCAACTACACCCCCAGCCCCCCTGGACTTGCTGATGCCGGGGCTGAGGGACCCGCTGTGCCCCCACAGCCCCTCCTCTCTCTTTTCGGTTCTTCTCCTCTCCCTCCTCCCCCTGTCCCGGTTCTGTTAGCGAGGCCTGTACTAGTTTGTCACGATGATAATAAATGGATGCTGACGGAGGCGGCTGTCACGGTGGGTCCCCTGAGGGCCCCCCCTCTCCCCGCTCCCAGCACAGGCACACCGGGTCTCCAGGAGTGGGGCAGAGCACCCCTGGACTTATGTCATGGGGAGGGGGGACGGGATGGGGACATGTTTCTCCCCTCCTCTCCTTCCTCTTCCTCCTCCCCACTTCTTGCTGAAATATAGAGAGATTATATATATATAAACTTATTAAATTTGGTTTGGGGACAGGAGCGTGATTTCTCCCCCTCCCCTGTCCTCTCTGTATTCCCCCATCACTGCCTGGCCCCACC